TCACCAAACCCCAACAGATAACTTGAGTTATAATCATATTAGCCCTAAACTAGATTATTAATTATCTTACTAAGCGTGATTATAAGTATAAATTCCCTTTAAACGTGCATAAAAAAGGTGTGATCAAGAAATAATAATAAATAATATAATGTAATATCAAGCAACAATAATAATAATCATCATCATAATAACAATCACAATTATCATAATCATATTAAAGCATAATATTATTAGCAAGATCCTAGGTATGATACTACCAAGATTAATAACAAACCCTAGCATGTCACTAAACATAAAAGATCAAAGCCCTAACATGATACTAACATGATATTAGGAAAGAAATAGGAAGCATCATAATAAACATACTTGATATTAGAAATATTATTTACTACCGTAAACATGATACTAGGAATTAATAAAATAATCTAAGCATGATTTCTTTATCAAAAGATCAATAAAGCAATTAAAGTACTTACTTCAATGCCTCGTACCTCTTTTAATAACAAAATACACATGCTAATAACTTCAAGGAAAATAATAAAATAAAATAATTAAATTATATAATTAAAATAGGGATTTGGGACAAAACCCTCAGAAATATCAAACCTTTCACATTTAGGGCGAAGGCAACTTCGAACTTGGCTAGGTGTTTCTAAGACTAATGAGTGAGGAATTTTGAGAGAGGGAAGGTTTAGAAAAAGAAAAGACAGAGAAGGCTTCTAGCTTTTAGAGAGAGAGAAAGAGATTGTAGATGATTGTTGATCCGAAACAGGGAAATACGACCCCTATTTATAGGAAAAATAGCACGAGATCAAAGAAAATCATATTCAGAATAAAATACCTCATGTCGCCAACGACAGGAGTCAGTGTCAGACGACAGGCTCGTCGCCAGACGACGAAGGTTAGCGCTAGGTGATGAAAGTCAGCGCCGGGAGACGACTCTGTTGTCTCACGCTGGTTCAAAAGTACAATGCGCTTTTACACACGGAATCACCTTTTAAACCAGTTACAGGTAATTCTGCGTCCAAACAGATTTAAAATCATATTTAATATATTTTATTCAAAATAAAACATCTTTAAAAATATAATTATCAATCCTAATCTCATTAATTAGAACTAAAGAGAACCTTGTAGATATTCCTAGAAGATCAAAATCAATCCTAATCACTTTAGGAATAATAATTAATAGGCCCTCCTCTAGATCATTGGGCCACATTTAAAAATCATTGGGCCTAATTTAATTTAATCCTTAACTTCCTCATAATTCATCACAATCGGGCTAATATTATTGGAAAGCTCTTTTCAAGCCCAGTCCAAATACACTATTATTGCACCCTTATTATGGACCAAACCAAATTGGACTGGCTATTTTTATAAATAGGGTAAGAAAAGAAATATTTTTGAAAACAAAAAGAGAAATATTTTAATAAAAACATCCTCATCATTAGACTTTCCACACTTTCACTTTTTTCAATAATCAAACAAAATGAAAGGTATTCATCACAGGATTTGGTTTTGGGGAGACACATTTGGGTGTCTACAGACCGTTTCCAAATGACCAAACCATTCCTGGGCACTACAGGTCAAAGTGGAAGGAAAGACTTTGCACCATGTAGCGTCATAGACCGAGTACAACATCATGTAACCCTCGTATGTTGACAGGTAACTTTTCGGGTCTATCCTTCCGTCAAAACGACATGTCAGTAGTTTAATTTTTTCCATGGGCTCTTCCAGTATATTATGTGCAAACGGTGAGTCCTTAGGTTTTATTAAGACCCTCTTCCTTGGATTCTGGGCGGCTCTAGAATCCCCGACGCAACTACCTTCCGGTATGGCACCTCGTGCCTTAGATACCGGTATCGCTCCTTCCTTACACGTCTGGATCTTTCTAGCTCCTAAATCAATCTGCTTATGGGTCCTTGATTCTGGTTCTTTCTTGCTAGGTCCAGATTCAGCTTTCTTAGATTCAGGATGTGTGCTTGCGACCTCTTATAACTTCGTCACCATGTTAACCTTGAATCCTTCCTATTGTCGGACTTTTTTACCGTAGTTTTGTGTGAGGGGCTTGCTTTCCAGCAAATTTCTTTTCTTTTCCCTCTCACATGCCGCAATCACCCTTCTAGCTACATCGAGCTGCAAGGGGGTGAAGTAACTAATCAATTCTGGGGTTCCATCGAGCTTGTCCTTGTCGGCAATTGCTGCCAGGGTTCCATCTGCATTGAACATGTTCAATGTTTTCACATCTTCCTCATCATCGTCTTCAAAGTCGTCAGTAACTTTCCCGTCATATTCTGCCGCTACCTCCGCCAATTTTTCCAAATTCAATGCCTTGACCCGTAATGCCCTATCATCTTCAGTAGTAGCCAATTGCTGATAGTATTTTAAGCTAGCCCCTCCTTCTAACATCAATTGTTCCGGGTTAAGATCCGGTACAATATGATGTTGATGGGCCGGTAAAGGTTTATCGCCTAATTGCCGGCTTCAATCAGCACATGTAATAAGGATTAGCTGCCCTCGGGGTTTGTTCCGAGGAAAACCGCTCTGATGCTAAAGTTAGTAAAGAATGGAAAGAAAAGTATTTAATTTTAGAGAAAGAAAGTAGAAAAAGTTTAAGAGAGTATTTATTACCCTCTATATATATAGACATTTCCAAGCAGGTGCCACGTGTACGGATAAGAGGACTTCAAGGAACCTTGTCTAAATACTTTACACGTAGCCTGTTGTTCTCTGTATAAAATGGCCGGTAAGATATATTAAATGATGTGATGGCTTATGGCTTATTTAAACCTTTTTAGCCGCTATGACCGATGATAGCCGATATCACCCCGTACATCTTGTGTTACTAGTATTTATCCTATGTATTTTAAATTTTTAAGGTATTTTAAATTGTGTTATTGTGTAGTTACTAGATGGAGGCCTTCTAAATGGAGGTTTGATAGGTACCTTGACATACATATTAAGGGGCATAAGAGACATTTCGCATGAAATTTACCCATCTCTCTCCTCCTTTCTTTCACCCTCATGTGCTGAATTTAAGTGTACTAATGGGTGATTAATAGTATCACTAGATGATCAAATAGTATCATTGAACATTCAGTGAGACTATATATTCATTCAATGGTATTGTATATTCATTCAGTGGTACTAACTACGCGTAGAAATAGTATCACTACATATTCAATGATATTATATTAGGGCTGAGCAAAACTACCCGAAAAACCAAAAACCCGAAAAAACGATCCGTAACCGTTTCGAAAATTAGGGTACCTGTAGGGAATAGATTTCAAGTGTTAAACCCCTAGCTTGAACCCCACTGGGATCATACACTAAAGTACGGTGGCATCCAAAAGGGAAGAAGATAGAGCAAAAGAGTCGCCAACAAGCACTACAAAAAAAATGAGAATAGGCAACGGACAAAATTGTAACAAAATGACAAACGTTGACTTTTGTAGTAAAAGGCAACAATACTTGTTTGTTACCTTGATCTTGAACAATCTGTACTATATGACAATGCAACGGTTTGAAAAATGTTGCTTTAGATTATGTAAGACAACAACATGTGAAATGTAGTTATTTATTTTACAAAAGACAACAATTATTTAAAATGTTGCCAAGAAAGATAACAAGAATAAAATTGTTGCTTATGTAATAATTTTAAAAACGCTTTTTCAAGGTATCTAAGACAAGAATGTTTCATGTGTTTTCATTGTCTTACATAAGATAGGTTATTATTTAGAACATTCGTTTAAAAATAATAATAAACAAATTATTGTCAATAAGTACAAATTATTATCTATTCATAAAGGTGTGTATGTCAACAATAGTTGATGATTAGAAAAAATAATTTAGCACCGGTAATTGTGGTTGGTGGATTTCACATTTCACAACAGCATTTTTTAAGCTAAATCAATGTAGAAAATACAACACATATGTAAAAGTTACTATTTTCATACGAGTAGAATTGATGGTAATTATACAGTACAAATAAATTACAAAAGGCTAGCAGTCTTTGTATAAAAAAATTAAAAAAATAAATCTTTATATGCAAATTTTGGCACTGAACTTTGTTTAATTTTTAAGCTATTTATAACATTTACTTGCAATTTTTGTCCATCATCTCAGATTCTGGAATTCCTTTAGTAAATGTATTTCACAAAATTTAGTAAATATATTTCACAAAATTTATGTCTCACCTGTATTTAAAAGTTGCTTCATCCTTTCCTTGCACCAGTTTGGCAGAAAAAAGTGCTTAATGAATGGGATCATGCTATCCATTTTGCATTATCTTCAAAGTACACATTAATATCGACAAAATTTTGGTTTGAACTCACATTGAGGTCATCACTCGTGATTTCGGAGGTGGAAAATCCATAAGCCTTTTCTTTAATGTTCCATTACCTAAAATATATTTTGCAGAGACAGATCTTATGTGTGTTTGTTGATATGCTGATTTTGTTATTATAACAAAAGTCTTCATACGTGCCTTTCTTTGGCTTATCGGCAAGATTGAGTCCTTTGTTTATATTCCTTCCTTCCTTGTGCAGGCAATGGAGTTTGGTCTTATAGATGGCATTTTGGAAACAGAGTATTGAGGATGCTGCGTATGACATGTTGCAACCATTTCATGGATGCACCTTTCTTATAGCTGTTGTACGAAGTATATTTCACTAGTCGTCCAATACTAATTTTGTTGCGTTGCAATCTCAGCTTAACTAACTAAGTTGCAATATTGTAATTGGAAGGGACATGGTTGTTGTCCTCGTATATCTTCAAAGAATTCAATGTTTTTGAAAATCAAATTGTAATTGTGGGCAAGTAATGTTCCAATTGAATTTATTTTGTTAAACAAGAATCAAATTCTGCTTCTAGCAGGAATGGTTTGCAATTAGAGAGGGAGAGGTGCAGACAATTTGTTGCTTGAACAAGATTTGGACTGGTATGACTGATAAAAAGTTTCTATAACAAGAAACTATTGCAATGATTTCCATCATGATAAACTATTGCAATAACAAGTCTATGTTCATAAATTATAGTTCAAGATGAGCCTTCTCATGGACGTCCACGTTCATAAACAAATCAATTTCAATCAATTTACAACCTTGTGCCAAACTAACAAGAACTTTAAGAAGTACAAAATGATCGCCTCCCTACAAACGGGAACCATCTTTCTTATTTTAGGGGTTGTGGGAGGAGATAACAATTCATGTATTTAAGGTTCTCCCTCCCCATAAGAATGTTGTGGTATAGTGTTAAGCCTACTTATACATCCATATAGTGTTCTGGCATGTTTGAAATGCTTCGCCTTTTATCTGACTCAGTAGCACTTCTGGTTTAAATCATTATATGCTATGTACCTGAGAAAAGAGTATAAGACAAATGCCAAGAAAATCAGAAACAATGCCTTATAGCATGTGAAGTAAAGCACAACTAGTCCATTCTCAAAATCTGAACATTCAATCAGCCAAATGGTTAAATATTGAAAGTCTTGCTGATAGAGAAAATGTTTAATCTCAAGCCTTCACACATTATAACAACCATCAATAATTTTTCAAGTTATGAATAGCAGAACGCTTTGACGGGATAGAAAAAATTATTTTTGCTTATCCACTTATCATTACACAGAACAGGGTAGCCCTTTTCAGTTTCTGAATGTTTTAACAAGTAAAAAGATAATAGAACAAACAATTTACATATAAAAGACACCATAATTTTGGCCGTAGTGAATCTATAAATGGCCTTGATTAAGGAGTCGTATTTCCTAGACTTCAAATTTCTCATATGCCTACAACAGATGAAGAAAGCCTCAATGTAAAACATCCACTGTAAATATATGGTCAAGTAGCAAGATACAAGAAGCATAACTACAGAAAATAGGCCCTTACAATAATTTTTTATGTGACTTAATTAAGGAAATGCTTATGCTGAATGCTGATTAATGCAGGCTTACTGAATTGTTGTTTAATGCAGGCTTACTGAATTGCTGATTAATGTATGCAAGCCACAAAACAAGTAAATAAATTAGTCATTGAATTGCTGCTTGAATTTTTTATGTGACTTAATTAAGGAAATACTTGTGCTGAATGCTGATTAATGCAGGCTTACCGGTATCATTGCATAGACGGGCACATAGTTCAACAGCATGTTTGCCATATCGGTGTCTTTAGTTGAGACCTGAAGCAACATAGTGAGTTATATGTCTAAAAAGGGAGTGAAGAGCATGCATATCTAGTTTAAAGGTTAATTAATGAAGAATTATTGTAATTTAAATTCATCTAAACTGTAAGCAAATCCCAACTTTCGAGTTAAAAAAACAAAATAAAGAAAACAGTATGATTTTAAACCTGTAAGATTCTAAACTCTAAATTATTGTAATTTGAATTCATCTAAATAGATAGCAGCAGGGCATCAGTAGGCACTTCTTACCTTCAGCTACTCATGAGTTTCTTGAGAATCCTTCTAAGCATAAGTTTAGATGATACAAGTTCTATGACGAGTCATTATGAATACAATGAGATTGCAGAGAATCTGCCAGAAAACTTTCAAGCGGTCTAGTAATTCAAGCTACTCAATCGTATGGTCAGCATTGTGAGGATAGGAAAGCAAGATCAATTTCAGACCATAAGGTTTGAAAAATGTTGCTAGACCTTCAAAAAGTGCCTTATGGAGCTTCTTTATAGCGTGTATCAGCAAGCACATTGCAGCTCGGGGGTAGACAGGTTCAAGGTAGTTACTCAAGCAATATTTCCTACTTGAGGTGTATCATCTATACAGATCCAAAGCATTAGTCTGCCTTGGAATTGTAAATTGCAGAATTTTATGAGCCCATCAGGAAAGAATATAGCTCAGCTACTCAAAGTTTGCTAACTAAAATTTGCAGGATGCTCATAGCGGCTCTTATGCCTAAATTACATACAATGTTGAGCATGGAGAGGATAGATTTAACGGTTTTCTAAACGGTAGGTGGTAAAAAACAATTTTTTGAGTTTTATTTGGTGGTAAAATACAACTTTTAAAATAGTAGGTGGTAAAATACAATTTGTCCAAATTTTTTGGTGGTAAAAGTCCAAATTTCCATTTTTTATTCGTTAAAATAAATAGTTTTTTTTTTTTTGAAACAATTAAAATAAATATTTTTAATTAATATTTTTTTATATTATTATTAATATTATTAGATTACCATCCAGAAACTAGCAATTTGCTACCAATACCCATTTTAATTAATTCATCATATTTTTTAATCCAATAATTTCTTCATCATAATCCAATAATAGATTACAACTTTGTTTCTTTAAGATATTTGTAATCCCACCCAAGTAAGATCCCCTAGTTTATTCCAAAAAGAAGAACCATTAGCTAGTAGTCCACATTTAGTTCTCAAAATAGAAAATAAGTTAAAAAATAAATAAATAAATAAAAAAAAACCAAACCCCATCATCCTCAACAGGTCACTCCACCCTCATTTCCTCAACACCTCAACTCTTCCTCAACTCCTCAACGCCTCAACTCCGTATTCTTCTCCAAACCCGCGAAATTGTAAATTATTTTTGGCTCCAAATTTTTTTGATCATGAATAAGCAGTTACTCCACTTTTCAGTTGTTGATCTGTTCTCATTATACAACACACTCATCATCTTAAAATCATCATATCCCCCAATCGGTTACTCTACTTACTCACCTCCTTTCTTTCTACTTAGGTGAGAGTTAATTAAGAGTATAGAGTATCTATTTCAATTCGTAATTAACTAGTTGCTTTGCTCTCTACTCACACTGCTTTCTTTGGATTTATGGTTGGCTAGTTGGATTTGATGCCGGCGAAATCGTTGTTGTATTCTGAATTTCATGTAAGTCATCGTTGCCCTTTTAATCTCTGAAGTGAATTTGGCATTTATAACTGGTTAATTTGATGTTGGATTTGATTTTTAGATGTAATATATTCTGGGTTGTCTTATTTTTGTAATTTAATATGATTATGGGTTAAGATGATTTTAATGGTTATGATTTACATGTTATGATTTACTAATAGCTCTGTATTTCTGTTGCTGCTTAGTGATTGACATGGACATTTGCACTTGTTAATATGAGTAGATGCATGACATCAGATAACGGGTGTGAGTTTTAGAGCGTTTTTTAGGGTGTTTTGCTGACACCCTCGAAAGCTAACAAGGCCATTTTTCGGGTGTCTTAGGCGGTGTTCGTGTGATTAGGCTGTCATCCCCTTAGTTTATCATTGATCATCTCTCTTCTTACTTTCAAATGGCCACATTCACTACACTAGCAGCTATGAAGGGCAATCTAAAAATTCAGGCCATTTATTTGAGTCCAATTTTGATCAATTTTGTGAATTTTACTATCTAGAGACTTATAGTACCTGAACCTGCACTCTGAACATTGCAAAACCTAACCTTTCTCAATCTGATGCACAGTCTAGGTTGTTTATTAGGTTGTCCAGAAATGTTACTGTAGGGAATAATTTCAAGCCTTTAAAATCCCACTAGCTTAGCTTGAACCCCACTGTGATCATACACTAAAGTATGGTGGCGTCCAAAGGGAAAGAAGATAGAGCAAAAAAGTTGCCAAAAAGTTTTAGGAACTTGTAAACCGTTAACAGGGTGAAGGTTACACCCCTTAACGATCAGGAGATCGTCAACTCCAATAGGTACAAATCCAACCTAAAAGAGATTGAACCTGCCCTAATAATAGGCCTCTACTTTATTCTGATCGTATTCATGTGCGCTTTTTAAATAACATGCAATCAATAGGTTTAACCCTAAACCTGTGTATTTATGTTGGTTGAATTTAATGCACAAATAAACTATTATTGGCGATCACTTGAAATTATAATCATATAAACCCTAACAAGATTATTAAATATCTTATTAAGCGTGATTACAAATACCAATTCCCTTTAAACATGCAATAAAAGGCGTGATCAAGCAATAACAAATAAATAAGCATCAAGCAACATAATAAATAATCAATAATTATTATAGTGATAACAAAATTATAATCATAATAAAATCATCATCAAAATAATAATAATCATAAATTATAATCATAACCATGTTCATGTTAATATTAAAGCATAATAATAGCAAGATCCTAGGCATGATACTAACAAGATTAATAACAAACCCTAGCATGTCACTAAGCAATAAAAATCAAATCTTTAACCCTAACATGATACTAACAATCATAAATATTAGGAAGAACATAGGAAGCATCATAGCAATCATATTTAATATTAAAATTACCCTAGACATGATACTAGGAATATCATAATGACAATGTAAACATGATTTCTACATCATAACATCAATAAAAATCAATTAAAGTACTTACTTAGATGCTTCGTACCTCTTTCTAATAACAAAATACACACGTTAGTAACTTCAAGGAAAATAATAATCAAAACAATCAAATTAAATAATTGAAAGAGAGATTTAGGACCAAACCCTCAGAAATTAAACCTTTCACGACTAGGGCGAAGGCAACTTCGAATATGGCTAGGTGTTTCTAGATCTTGTGAATGCGGAATTTTGTATGAAAAAGCAAAGTTTAGAAAAAGAGAAAGATGAAGAGATGAATGAATTAGAGAAAATTAGAGAATTAATGATTGCGAATGAAAACTGATTGTAGGTGAATATTCGTGAGAATTGGTGAATGAAAACGGAGTTTTTAATACGATATTTATAGAGAAATCAGCCGAAAAGATAAATTAAACAAAACAGAGTCTAACGCATAGCAAACAGAGCTGGCGCCAAGCACCAACACTAGCGCCTGGCGCCTGGCCTGGTTTCAGGCGCCAAGGCCTGGGGTCAAACGCCAAGCTTCAATTTAACGCGTTTTCGAAAATCTGATAAGGTTACCGTACTCGAGGATAAAATCATATAATTTCCTCAAAAATGCTATTTGATTTTGATTAAAATTCTGAAAAGTCAACAAAAGTCAATTTATCAATGCTAATTGAATTAGGAATGAAAAGAACCTTCTAGAAGAATCTAGAAGGCTAAAACCATTCCTAATTGCATTAGGAATGATAAATCATATTAGGCCCTCCCCAAGATCATTGGGCCGTACATAAAGCTCAAACCGGGCCCAGTCTAGTAAATTGGCCATAACTTCCTCAATATTCATCGGAATTGGGCTTATAATATATCGTTGGAAAGGTCTTTGCAAGCCCCATCCAACTACACTACTATTGGACCCACATCATGGACCAACCAAATTGGATTGTCTGTTTTCTTAAAATAAGTTTTCAAAAATAGAGAGAAGAGAAAAGAATTTAAAACTATCCGCAACACTAGACTTTCCACACTTTCACTTCATTTGATTATGATTCGACGGGAAAGGTACTCATCACTGGGTTTGGTTTTGGGGAGACACAAATGGGTGTCTACAGTTACAGTTGCCAATCTGACCAAGCTCCAGTGTGATCTTAACTTCAATTCATACATCAATAATTAGTACATATGAGGTCCTGGAGTCTTGGGTTCTGAGATATATGATGATTTGTTCACTATAGAAATCAATTATATTTTGTTTGTTCTACTTTAGTCTAAAAAACGTACCGAACAGAATTTGCCACTAAAATTTAAGTTAATAGAGGTTAGTTGTTAAGCTTTCAATCATGCTAACCCTTTTGTGAAATTAGCTAGATTATTAAATAGATGGTTATCCTTACTTGTTTTGTAACTTGAGCAGAAGAGTTTTAACTAGAAAATATTTAAATATTAAAGCATATTGAGGACTGTCAATTTATTATCTGATGTCTAATTGTTACTAAACTGAGTAATTACTGAGTAGTTGCTGACAGATGCTAAGATATTTTTCCTAGGTCGAATTAACTTACAAACGAATTCACTAATGGTAGCTAGTGGGGTTGCTTACACTATGTGTGGGTTATATGCATCTGCACTAATTTTCCCACCTCTCGACTAAGCTTGGAGCTATAAGAGGTTCTGGTGATGAGCATCAAACTCATGAACCAAGAAAGTCAGGATATGAGAGGCTGAGAATGGAAACAATTAGAAAAAATATGACAAGAATGGAAGAATTAGGTTTGAAGGAACATGCTAAGTCACTGATGGCGCAAGTTCAAAATAATAGAGGCAATCAAAGTAAGAATAAAAAGAAAAAGGTTTCGGGAGACGATGAGCTCTATAGGCCTAACCAAGATATGGAGCATGAGCTTGATTCCACCGATGAAGAGTTACCCATTCCACAGTCTAAAAGTAAAGACAAGTCCAATGCTATTCAATGGAAGGTAGTTTTTTCTAAGCTGTACATTTATGATTAAGCATGTCTCTATTCTTTACACATGTAATTCTGTATGCATCAAGATGATGTGTTGTGCTGCTATATATATGTCATATGTGGGTTTAAAATTTAAAATATAGGTTTTAAATTGAGAATGGAACTCTATTATCTCATGCAAGTATATATGCAACTAGGAATAGATGTTTGAATGTTCTGATTTGCCATCAACGATGAACACGTATTGATTGAAAATTTGTCCAGTTCTCTACAGATTTAGAAAGTAGTAAGAAAAATGTCTTCGTGTGCTGCTGTTGCTTTATAATGTTGTTGTTGCCTATTGCTTTGCGGCTGTTGAAACTTTAATTCTACTGCTCTATTGTCATGAGTTGCTGCCCCCTTGCCTTGCTGACTGTACACTTGTTCTGCAATCTACTGCCAAATACTTCTCTAGAACTTAACACAAATTCTGCTTTGCGCTGTAAGCAGTTAAACTACAAGTTTCAATTTAGATTGAATAATTCATGATTGAGCTGTACTGTAATAATGTAATGTATGTTTTTTATTGTGATGTTCTGATTTTGATTACATTCATTAGTGATTACCTTAATCCCAAATAAACTTGGATGGTTTGTCATGTCATTTGCAAAAGTGTGAAATTGCGTAAGCATTGTGCTAATAGCCTAGTCTTTGTTTGTCTTGATGCACATATACATTTTCTGTGAGACTCAACAGTCGCACACTCTTAAACTAACTCAATAGAAAGCACATACAAAACAAGAATAATCAGCAAGAACAAAGATTCGATAGCCAATGGATTGAAATATATTGATAGTTCAGTAACTTTAGGTTACTACTGCCCAAAGTATCTTTAGGATACAAAGCTCCAAATATCCAATACAATAGTCTTCTTACAAAATTATGGACAATGCAAAAACATTCATATATATACAAGGCTTTTGTCCAACACAAAAGAGGCCGCCTTAATTCATTTTGTTTATCTCTATGTACTCTGATATGCTGCTCCAAGTTTTCTGCTCCACTAGTGAGTGTTGTTCCCCCTTCCTGGAGACTCCCCTCTTCCCCTACCCTTTGTCCTTCAACAATTAATTAAATTTGTTCCCTTGTGCTGCTGTGGTTTTCCTCTTCTCTAATATTGCAATAGAGGTTTGGGCTTGAGGTTTGGTGGCCCGTCAGTTTGGTGATATTTTCCTTGTATGCTCATATACCTAAAGATCAGCTCAAATTTGACCTCTTATGTCAATATGGTGTCTGAAACAGTAAAGAAAACAATTCTCAAGGCTACTTGAAGCACATGCTTAGTTAGACATTAATGTTTAATTGCTTATAAATGCCCTTATGAATGTGTGGTCTATGATCAATTAATTGCTTATCAATTAAACAAGAGTTATGAAGTGTGAAACTTTTTTTGTATTATGTTTTTACATACATATATTAGAGTATTGTATGTCTTTCTTTTTTCCATGTTTGTTCCCAATTTCAGATTCGTAAAATGAAGGCTCTGATGCGAAAAGCAGTGATGGAAAAACGTCGGCGAAATGTTGATTTGGCTTCTTCACATGGTGGCTCATCTACCCCTAATCATACATTACATCAGCATTATTCAACCACAAGAGAACTAGTTGAAATGCTCGGATTAGAAGTTGAACACTTAAATCATGACAAGAATGATAAAGAAAATGGCAAGCTATCGTTTGTATTTGTAATTAAAATTCTTTACCTACATGCTTGATAAGCCATTTTTTTAACATTTGAATTTCTTTGCTCATGTTAGCTGAAAAGGATAAGCCTAGAAGAGGACCCACTATGTGCTACAAAGTCCATGGATGCACCGAAGAAGAACGCTTGGAAATTACCTTGAATGAGCATGGACAACCTGTTGGTCCGGATGACAGTACATGCAATGAGTTCATTAGCTTCTTAGGAACAATAGCTCGAAAAGCAAATATCCTACCACTGACTGTCAAGAATTGGCCCATACTAAGGAACGAGAAGAAAGAAGAACTTTGGGATTATGTCTTGGTGAGTTACTTATTCAATTAAATAAATATGGTAGAAATGTTTTATAATTGCTTAACTTGTCCTATATGGTTTCTGCTATCATGTCAGAGTGTCATGTTAAACTTTCTTGATTGGCATATGTTATGTAAAAAAAATGAACCCCAACTGTCATTATTGTTGTCGATCTGCCTACATGGTGTTCTACTTGGCTGCCTTCTACTTTTTAAGATCAGTGACTTGTTTTATAAGTGCTAGAATAGGTTCTAGACTTTCAGTGAGTTGTTTTCTTATGTTCTTGATTTGTGATTAAGATTAATTAATTGGCAGCGAGTTGTTTAACAGTGCCAATATGATCACTTTAGTATAACTTTTTTTGTATTTTTTTTAAGTATAACTGTTTTTGTATTGTTGTAGAAACATTTTATTGTCCCAATTGAGGGAAAAAAATGGGTTTTGCAAACCATTGGTGCTGCTTGGAGAAGGTACAAATGTTATTTAAAAAGAGTACACTTTCATAAATATGAAATGATAAAACAAGGATGATCAAACGACCAAAACTAGTCCCAAAAAATATGTTCCAAGACTTGTTAAAGATTTGGAATGATGTCAAATATGAGGTATTACATTTATACAAGTCTCTTATATTTCCCTGCCTTTATAGCAAATGTATATTTCTTGTCTTAAGAAAAATGTTATTCATTAGTTCACCATCTTAATTTGTCAGGAACGATGTATGAAAATAAAGCAAATCGATTAGTTGGAAAGGAAAAATACATTATGCATACTCCAGGACCAAAGAGTTTTGCTAGGGTTCGATGTTAGTGGGTGAGTTTGTTTGTTTGCTTGTTTACATTTCTCATCACTTTTATTATTGGTTTTATTTCTGCATTAAAATGATTGACACTCATTACTCTTATATAGAAAAAGGATAATAAAACAACAAAAAATCCTAGTTTAGCTCAAATGTTCATAGCAACACGCAAGGAGAAGCTAACAAAGCGAAAGTCTGGTGACCTAAGGGACAAATTAATGGTAAGATTCATTGTCATTTCATGTTAATTTTTTTGCATTTAATTTTGTCAATATTAATTTTTGTCCTTTATCTTTTAAAATATAGACTGAACTTGAGAAATTAGATTCAGAGGAGGAGGTTGAAAGTGTGATTTCAACTATTATTGGTTCTGATAACAAGAAAAAGTCTCGATTAAAATTTCATGGAAGAGATGTTTCATCAACTTAATTAAAGCAGAAGGCCTTGATGAAGGAAGCTATAGAGAAGCATGCTAAGGAGGTTCAAGCTCTACAAAAAGATTATGAGGACAAAAGGCAACACAAGATAGAAGGGAGATAGCATATGGTCTTAGCTCCATCCTTTCTCAAATTCAACAACAAAATCCAGAAATGTCTTTTGATTTAAGTATGCTTGGCTCTTTATTTCTTGATAATCAATCTGAGAAGGATGGTGGTAGTACAACAGAAATGCTTCGATTTCAATCTTCGGCTTCTACATCCAAGGTAAAAACCTTTTAATTTCTATATACGTAAAGTATAGATAAAAAGTGGCCAAGGCTTTCAATTTTTTTCTCTTTTTTTTTCTTTTCTTTTTTTTTTTTTTTTTTTTTGTATTTGAGCGATACTAAGTTGAAATATTTATCTATTTTATTTTATTTTTTGTACAGGGAGATGAACAAGAAGAAGATGAAGAAGGTTGCGAGTAAGAAGAAGAAGAATATGACTTTATGGCTCAATTTGAAGTTGCTTTAACCTTTTATTATTTCTTCTATTTTTTAGTTAGACTAATATTATGGCCTACAACATTCTATTAAACAATAGATTATTTAGATAGATTTGATGTTGAAAACAAGTTGATATTGTTTTGGTTGTATTGTTTTACTAATTAATTTTATAAGTTTGGGATTATGTAGTCAAATGCTTATTACATGTTTTAATGTTCAACATTTTTCTAATATAACAAATTCAAAATAGTACGACACATTCTCACTCCTTTAATATAATATAGTAATATATTGCAATAGAAAACAAAAATAGTCGATTCATTGTAGTCATTTAATTTATATATAACAGTTTTCTAAATGTTGTCTTTACAAAATTTGGCAACACTTTTGTATTATTACTAGCAAATACAACATGTGAAAAGATTGTTTTATATTATGACAAAAGGTAATAATTTTGAATCGTCTCCTAAGGTGGCAAAAATTTTCATTTGTTGCCTTTGTAAAAATGTTGCCTTAGGTATTATTTTACCTTGGCTTTTAAAATTGTTGCCTTTGTACGAAAATGCGTTGCCTTATGAATAGACAACGGGGGCATAAACTACGCCTCATATGTGTTGCCTTAGATACAAGGCAACACTTTTTTAGTATTAGGGAATGGTTTTTCATTGTTACCTTAGCTTCATTTTGTTTTAGTGAAGTTTTAGAAACTTGTAAACCGTTCACATGGTAAAGGTTACACCCCTTAATGATCCAAGAGATCGTCAACTCCATAAGGTCTTGAACCAAATAAGGGTTCGGGGATGAAGGTACAAATCCAACCTAAAAGAGATTGAATCTGCCCTAATAATAGACCTCTACTTTATTCTGATCGTATTCATGTGCGCTTTCTGACTAACATGCAATCAATAAGATTAACCATAAACCTGTTTATCTATGTTGGTTGAATATTAATGCACAAATAAATCTACTATTGGCGATCACTTGAATTATAATCAAATTAACCCTAAACAAGATTATTAATTATCTTATTAAGCATGATTACAAGTACCAAATTCTCTTTAAACATGCATAAAAGGTGATCAAGCAATAAAAAATAAATAAGCATCAAGCAACATAATAATAATCAATAATCATGATCATAAAATTATAACAATAAAATAATCATCATAATAACAATCATATTAACCATAATAATAATCATGTTAGTCATAATAATAATAATTATAAAATTATAATCATAATCAAAACAAATATAAAAATAACCATAAATCATGTTAAAGCATAATAAAAATAGCAAGATCCTAGGCATGATACTAACAAGATTAATAACAAATCCTAGCATGTCACTAAGCAATAAAAATCAAATCTTTAACCCTAACATGATACTAACAATCATAAATATTAGGAAAAACATAGGAAGCATCGCAACAATCATATTTAATATTAAAATTACCCTAGACATGATAATAGGAATATCATAATAACAATGTAAACATGATTTCTACATCATAATATCAATTAAAGTACTTACTTTGATGCCTTGTACCTCTTTCTAATAACAAAATACACACGTTAGTAACTTCAAGGAAAATAACAATTAAAACAATTAAATTAAATAATTGAAATAGAGATTTGGGACCAAACCCTCAGAAATTAAACCTTTCACGTCTAGGGAGAAGGCAACTTCGAATATGGCTAGGTGTTTCTAGATCTTGTGAATGCGGAATTTTGTATGAAAAAGACTAGTTTAGAAAAGAGAGAAATAAAGAGAAGGGTGAATGATTAAGGAAATCTTGATGAGAATTAATAAATGAAAACTGGTTGTTGGTGAATATAGATGAATGTTGATGAGAATTCGTGAAATCTGGTTATCGAAAACGGAGTTTTACGACATTATTTATAAAGAAATCAGCCAAAAAAGATAAAATAAACAAAACAGAGTCTGGTGCACGCAAAACAAGATAGGCGCCAGCCATTGGTCATTGACGCCAAGCGCCAACGTCAGCAGGCGCCTGGCCTAGCTCCAGGCGCCAATGCCTGATGTCAGGCGCCAGGCCTATTTTTGACGCGTTTTCAAAAATCAGATAAGTTTTGTCGTTCAAGAGGATAAAATCGTATCTTTTCCTCGAAAATGCTTGTTGATTTTAATTAAAACTCTGCAAAGTCAACAAAAGTCAATTTATCAATGCTAATTGAATTATGAATGAAAAGAACCTTCTAGAAGAATCTAGAAGACTAAAAACATTTCTAATTGCATCAGGAATGACAAATCATATTAGGCCCTCCCCTAAATCATTGGGCCGCATATAAGGCTCAAACCGGACCTAATTTGGTAAATTGGCCATAACTTCCTCAATATTCATCGGAATTGGGCTTATAATATATCGTTGGAAAGCTCTTGTCAAGCCCCATCCAACTACACTACTATTGGACTCATATAATAGACCAACCAAACTGGATTGGCTGTTTTCTTAAAATAAGTTTTCAAAAACAGAGAGAAGAGAAAAGAAATTAAAACTTATCTGCAACACTAGACTTTCCACACTTTCGCTTCATTCGATTATGATTCTACGTGAAAGGTACTCATCACCGGGTTTGGTTTTGGGGAGACACATTTGGGTGTCTACAGTACCCGATCCGATAATCATAACGGTTGGGTATCCGTTTTGATAATTTGTTATCGGGTATGGTTATGGGTATCATTTTAAAATTAACGGTTACCCGATCCGATCCGATAAACATTTTTTTTGCTTTTTTTCCCGACTTAAATATATTAATATAAATCTAAACTTTTACTTTACTTCATAATTACTTTATAATATCAATGATTAGTAATATTAGTAATAATTTGGTCAAGATCATATGGTATTGTTTTTAATTAGTTGTAAATTATATCATAATAACTACATAATTAAGTTTAATTATCATTATTGGATATCTAATTGGATACCCGATAACCGATCCGAAAATTCGAGTACCCGAACTTATCGGTTCCGGTTATGGGTATCACTTTTAGTGATTTTGGTTATCGGGTTCCCAAACCGTTAGTACTAACGGTACGGGTACCCGTCCCATGCTCACCCCTAATTATATAAGCTTTCAGTGATACGTTTAAAACTGGACCCACATGCCCATCTCTCTCCTCCTTTTCTCTCACCCCCATGTGCTTTACAATACTTTTCAATATTTTAAGGTTTGATATGTATTTGCGAATACATATCAAACCTACATTAGTACTTCCTCGTACTAGATGCATCATGCATGTGCACCTTCTTAGTTCTTACACCAATATCTTACTTGTAGTATCACACCAATATCTTACTTGTAGTATCACACCAAGACAGCCTCTATGAGATGGTAAACTATAGATATATATGTACAAAGAGGTTTGAACATCAAACCTAATTGAATGAAAAACTCTTTTATTACCAACATAGCAAGATATAAACCATACTTTATATTAACTCACATTTAGGTATAAATACATATATACTAGTAATAGAATGTAGAATCAAAAAGAAAAAAAAATCCAAAAAATGTTGTTGTCATTTTATTAGGGGTGAAAGTTCGGTTTGCGGTTTGGATTATAGCCTAAACCGAATCCAATCCAAATTAATTCGGTTTCGGAAATCTCAATCTGAATCTAAACCGATTTAAGATTCAATCCAATCCAAACCAAACCGAATTAATTTGGTTTTTCAAATTAAAATCCAATCAAAACCAAAATTTGTTCCCATCTTTTGCAACATTCAAATCCGAAACCCGAACTTCACCCAGAAAATTCCTACAATCATTTCTTGTTAACAACATTCTTTGTGAGAGAGTAAGATATTGTGAAAGGAAAATTGAAAATTAGGTTTTTTTTTAAAGTTTATATATGAAAGGGGAAAGTGGTTGGATACTTTGAAAAAAAAAATGGGCTTAACGTAATCAGTCGAAATTCGGTTTGTAATTCAGTTTACGGTTTTTTTGAATCCCAAACCGAATCCAATCCGTAATCCATATTTTTTAATTTTTCCAAACCGATCCAATCCGAATTCTAAAAAAATCCAAACCAAATTACTAATTCGGTTTGGTTTTCAATTCGGTTCGGTTTTAATCCGAATTACTTACACCCCTACATTGTATTACTTCCTTTGTTTAAAAATGATGCATTAACTTCCTCAAAAAAAAAATGATGCATTAACTTTCAATGTTTACATCTTTTTCTCTCACATTATCTCTTTAATATTTTTACCCTCATTATATATATCGGCCCCAATCAAAATCTTTATAATCCTAAAAAAATTAAAAGAATGATCTCAATGCATTATTTTTATTGACAAAAAAGAGGATTTACTTTAAATGTCCCAATCTATTTTTATTCCAAAAAAAAAATACAAATTCTTAAATGGACCTGGTTCACACTAATTTATTGTGGACCACTAACATTAGAGAAAGTAGGGTTGTTTTATTAATAAAAAAAAAGGGTCACTATAATTAAAAAAAAGGTCACTATATTGAAATAAAAATTTATTTTGGTAATATATATGCCTAAGTGGTTATTTTTGTAATGAAATATTTTATATACTGATCAATATGAATAATAAAGGCCACTATGTTAAAATTAGGGTAATATCGTCATATTTCAAGTTCACAATATTATTAAACGTTGTAGTAGTTTTAATAAAGGTTACTAGGTTAAAAATAAGGTTACTATGTTAAAAATAATGGTCACTAAGTTCAATATAATGTCAGTTGCGTGTGTATAGACCTCGGGTCCACAATAATATTATTGTGGACCAGGTCCACGCAAGTCTTTTTGAAAAAAAAAGAATGGTCTCCTGTCCAAAAAAAAAAAAAAAAGAATGGTCTCGATGTAATTTAATGGTCCAACAGTACTTATTCTAAGAATCTTCCCTTTCTTCACACATTCTAAATAGTTAGAGCATATTGATACGAATAGAGTATGATTTACTCCTAATAAAAAAATATCGAGGGTTCAAACTATCTATAGGTTGTATAAAAAGTTTACTCAAAATTATTACTCATGATGAATCAGAATCGAAACCTGAGGGATCCAATTCTGGTTCTCATTTATTTTCCACTTGCGAGTTTTGATGGTCGTTCTCATTTTTGAGGATTTTAGAGGCTAATTGACCAGATTGGTAAATAAAAAAAACCCTTAGTGATAATTTGGTAAAAAAAATAATTTCGACGACAATTTGGTAAAAAAATTAACCCTAAACGACAATTTGGTAAATAAAATAATC